TCACACGACATTCAACAATGGCGGCAAAGTTGACTAGTGGTTGTGAATTTCGTGGTTCTATTTTTTCAATCGTAAGTGTTGGAACTTTGGAGGGCTGCATTCAGGAGGAGTTTACAAACAGCAATAATGAGACAGATTATAGTTTATAAAGTTCTAAAATCAGTATACATTCGTTTACAATTTTTATGGGTTTCAAGTCGAGTGACAGAAGCTTCTGTAAGCCGAATTTATTTCCGTCTAGCATATAATTGAACAGAGGAAATGACCACAAAAGCAAAAATTCCATCATAAATACCAGTATCTTTTTCTATTCGATTAGTGACTTTCTTATGAAATGTCATTCTTTAGGCAGATAAATAACAGTTATTTCGATGATTCACTTTCCGTAAGTATAACAGTAGAATATTTACAAATAAACTATTGCATAATAATTGACGTATTCACAGATATGAGGAATAGGATAAACAAATATTTAGTACTAAAGTCAAAACAGTTTCAGAAAGAAAAGATATCTAGATCGTTCTTGAATCTTTATCGCCATTCTCATACAACTTTTCTTTGCCAAAGAAATCGATAATCAAAATATGTAACAGTGAACGGTTATATGACAGTTGTTTCCCACTGCCACTTCATTCTCACTATGGGAGAATTTAGAATGTTTCCACGAATGATTTATAATGAGCGAATCAATGTTGCTTTATAGTATACACCATGTATATGGCCCAGTTAAAACACAGTTAAGAATCTGAAAGCAGTGAGCAGATTCCCTGTTCAAGTATATGTATTCACAACTGCATCAATGATTGAATCCACAGTGCTGAATTCTGCCGTTGGGGTTTTAACCTTTAGATCACTAAGTCCTAATCGAATAGTTTACACTTACGACTTTAGTGGATGTGTGAATTGTTTACGATAACTCAAGGAAGTAATACAAGTATTTGATGCAAACAAATGATTTCATTAAACCTATCAATTTAAAACTATAAGTATCGATGAGATTAGCTCCACTCTCACACATTGCACAAATCACACCTCATGCACTCGGATACAGACGACTACACACAAATATTCCTAACATCGGATCCATCTTAACTTAACTGATATGACAATAGCATGATCAGACATGTTTCCTTTGTACGTGACTTTTTTCCTCTGCAGTATTTAAACTTGTATTAATTTGAGCGAGGAAATTTCTTTTCAATTAGTTTTTCATCATGGCTCTACACTAATATATATATGATTTACAATAATGATATAATACTCATCGAGTGGATACGTTACGTAATAATTACATAATGACATTTAAATTAACATTGAGTAATTGGAAGAAAGAGGATTATTAATATTCAAAGTAATTGTTAAATCAAGAAGTTGCTACGTTGCGTAATATATGAAAAAGAGGAGAAGAATTTTTTTTAATGGATGGTCAATAGAATAGTAGGTACCAAGAATCAAGAGATGAATGTTGAGAAGTTATAAAGTTCAAAAACAACAAAAACAAAATTACAAAAATTTAAAGAAAAAAAAACAAGTGGAAGAAGTATGAAAAATAGTAATGTTGAAGGAAATCTTATACCAATGGCCAAGGCAGCGAAAGTGGCTGTACAAATCTCTTTTGAATGTAAAGGTTAGGTTTGTGAACATGGATTGCGATGGCTTCCGCAATGTGCAAAAGGCGCACTCGTAAAGCGTGTGGCAAATTTGATGGGATATTGTAGATAACCTTAAAAGCTTTATTCAATTCAACTTGATGACCTGTGGTTGATACAGGTTAAGGTAAATCAGAAAAACTACTTTCAGTATTAATCCAATAATAAGATTATCAATTAGATTGTAATTACATTGATAACTTGGTCAGTTATTCCTTATTCCATTTCGATCAAATAGTCAGCTACAAAAACACCTAGATACACTATATTTCAGTAGCAACTCGATCATTAACTCAAGATATGCATGTAATATATATATATATATAGGATAACATCAGATGAAGTTATGTTTAAACGAAATATATTATCGAAGTATGTGCTTTAGATTAGATTAGACTAACAAATAAAAAATGAAGTAAACCTACAGGAATAATGGATGGTGGCTGGACCATAGAATTTATTGAAAATACAACATTCTGTGTATTCACAGCCAATGTATCTGTACTTAAAGTAAATTGTATTTGGATCACATCACCCGTTACGTAACTGGTGTCATAGCATAACTTAATTCCAAACACAAAATTATAAGTGATATTCCGGGTATTTTTATTTTTGAATATACCAAGTGGTGTACTACTCCCACTTCTTCGTGAGTTCAATATAGTGTATTCTGATATTAATCTAACCTGTAGTGTTTGAAAGTGAGTTGAAAGGAAAAGAAAGTAATCAAAATGTTGTACAATGAAATTGCTTAGTGAAGAATATTCATTACAGGCAAAGAGGAACAAATAAAAGTGTTGAATTGCAAGCCTAATGGAAGTGTTAACCTCTTTCTGAGTAATACTGGTATCGGATATTATCGTTCAGAAATAGTTACCTTCTATTAACAGTTTCAGGATGTTTGAAGTATGACTTGAGTATTTTGAGAATGATTGTTGAAATAAAATTACCTGTGAATCCATAGCATAATATAATGATATTGATAATTCAATGAAATTGGTTTTGTTATGTTTCTCATTTACTAGATTCACATCTAGTGAAGTAGGGAAAACGAGATTTTTTCAATTATGCAAATGATTGTACTATAATTTCCACAATATGTGGTTTCAAGCAAGATGTAAACCAGTAACACGTCCTGTGACTTCATTTCCACTCCATATAGCTAACCTTTGAAAATCACTCTGAACACGTATTTTAATCGCTTTCATCAGTAGAGGTTGTTCCATGCGAAACATTATAATCTTGTAAGCAATAGAATAACTAAATTTCTCCAGTCTTTATTAAGATTATTAACACCTAGGACAGTTAAGTCAGTTGCTTTCCACTTCCAAAATCAGTAGTCAGAAATTAAACTGGTATTTGACGTCTGTCATATGCGTTTAGTCGATGTCTTTTTTCACCTTCCACTAATGAGTATACATATGCCGAATTCCAGTCCTATTGATTTGGTATTATATCATGGCATGAAAATAATGAAAATACTAATATTCACAAATAGAAATGTTAATCAGTTAAGTTATTCTCGTTTTAATGTTCACTTAACGAGATTTTACGACAGGTTATCTTACAGTCATATGCTGTTAATATATTCGATGGAATACCTTCACAATAAAAAATTTCCAATTACTACATATTTGAGATTAGTGGTACTATCTCCATTCACCATACATTTACATAACGGAGGATTTGTGTTTACTGATCTCACTTATTTATGGTGAACTGACTGGGTTGTTTCATTTCATAATTACAATCATAATGTATTCATTTGAGTACAATGTCAAAATGTTTGACATTTTAATGGTAATTTATTGTTTCCAGGAAATAAGGTAATTTTGTTAATGTACATCGGTAGCGTTATTTCTGTCGTACCTGAGTCATTTAGAAATCTCCGAATCTAAAATGATCTCTTGGAATTTTTCTTAACTTTCGCAAGTAGTTCTATAGAAACCGAGAAAAATGTTGGAACCTCTCTGACGAGTCAAACTCATTGGAACTTTCAAAAAAGTCCGGGAAAGGATTGATCATACTTTCTTCATTCAGATAGGACAAAATATTTTCGTATAATTTGATTTGATTTTATTCAAATTGAGATTAGCAGTTAAATCAAGGGCACACATATGGGCTTCACCAAATGGTTATATCCTGTACACCAGTGTTGACGTCCACATCAAGACAGGGGCCTAGTAACTGTCATTTTAAACACAAACGCGTTCTGTTCTCAACTGTTAAGTCTAGATAACCATTAGCTTATTCACTGAGTACAAATTCATTTTTAAAGATTTACTTTTTCCGCTGCTGATATTAAGGGTTTTGTTCGATCAGTTGTAGTAACCTACTTTTATCAAGAGAACGTGATTGGTGTAATGGAAACAATTATTATTATAACCATTTGTACCAGGATTGTTTTACCGTACTTGTTTGTTTAAGTGTACCAAAATACATACATTCTTCCGTTGCTCGTGATCTTGCACGAAGTCGGTTACGTTCAGTATCCCCACTTGTAATCTGGCACGATCTCGGGATTCTTTCGATACCATGAGATCGCCAATAAACACATCTCGACTACAGCCATCAAGTGCCTTCTGATATTTGACCTAAGTGGGATCTTATAGGTTAACTGGCACGTAGTCTTCCTGTAGTGGTGATCATAGTCAACCGCGACTCAACGCCACACTACACAGTCTTCATGTTAGTTGTGCACATTGAGCGGATTGCTTCGATATCACTGTTCCAAATACCTATAAATAAATACTACATTTATTACCAATTTTGGGCTTTTTCCCAAAGCTGCTAGAATTATGTGGTCAGTCTTATAGATATCCTCGTCTTCTCTAACTAATTAAATCTTCATAGTGAAACTTTTTCATGTTTCACTGCTTTTGCTTCCAGTTCAAGGTTCAAAAGTGCACGACTTCTGAGTACCAGTAAATACACCAGATGTTAGTGGCTCGTCGATCAAATGTATGATTTACCGAGATGCAACACAGTAAACTTACTTTTCGTGTTTGATTGGTTTCTTCTAGCAAGTACTCAATGTAACACATTTCTCCAAGTATTTTATTTTGGATTTTGGCCCCAAGAATATAATAAGAATATGTATTTGGTGTGACAGTTAGTTGAACTGTGAAGAATTGAGCCTTTTCAACCTGATTCAAGACTGGAATATCCTTTATTGAAATGAAGTTTTTTTCAGGCTATATATTTGAAGAAAGAGGTAAGTTAGTTTTTACAGAATACTTAAAATTAATCTTACCGCAATGTAATTTGTAAATGAGGAGACTTGACTCTCACAAACATTCACTGTAGAATTTTCTCCTGTTGATGAGACTTTCGCTTCAAACTTAGTTGATGTTAAGCTATAGTTAGAGATCTGAATAAAACTGTCAGACGAACTGAGCGGTTGGACACTGGTAGAGAAGTATCATAAGCCCCTACATGAAATTTGAAAAAGCAAAATATATATGAACATGTAGTTTTTCAGACATGAGCAACCATTCTGAACAGAAATACTTGAAATTTATTGAAAATAATCATAAAATGAAACTAGCTGAAAAATAACGATCATCTCCGGATACCACTGAACGATGTTCCAGGAAAACAGAAACATGATTGTATTGGAAATGATAAAGTGATTTCACCAGTATTTCATTGATATTCAGTTTAGTACTAATCAACTTTCAACAGTTGAATTCACGAGTCAGTCTAAGCTAGACCACCATTGAAAACTTGGAAGCACTGGATGGCCGTTTCGTCCTAGTGTGGGGTTCCCCAGCAGTGTGTATCCCCATACTGATACTAATCGACTTATTAGTGTGATCGATTATCAGTTAATAAGTTCATTTATACTCGATGGAATGTTACATATTATCATTTCATCTAAAGTGCTTAAATGAGAAATTAAATTCGACTTAGCTTCTATTAACTCTGAAATGATAGTTGATAAAATGTAATATCTTGTTAATTGGAGGTCTATAATAAGCCTCTAAATATTTGAATTTTCATCATCGTATTTATATTGCCACAAGAAACTAATCATCTTTTATTGTTATTGGAATAATCTTCATTTGGTTCACAATATATCAATTTAGATATATTATGTTCCTTAACTGAGTAAACTATGGTGTTTTCAGTATGTAAATCTTATATAAGTGGACAATAATGTTGCTAATTAGATCCTCATCAGGTATTACTCTAATATAACATGATATTTATATGCATACATGGAAATATTAAACCAATCAAGGGAGTTTGTGAGTCAAGGATAACAGTGGAATAGATCACATAAATAACCGTAATAAGTAAAAGTACAAAAGCAAAGAATATCTATGGGAACAATCATTTTCAGTAACTTCGTCATCAGTCTCTATAGTTGTAAATTCATAATATTTGTCTTACATTATAAAGGATAATATAAGGCATGCTAGTTAATTAAACAATGTTGGTGAATTTTGCATCTCCTACAGCATAACTACTTCAAAATTACCACTAGTAAATTAGACTGATCACTTACTAAAGGTCAGAATGAATTGCTATAAGGTGTCAAGTTTCAATCGATATGACAGTGATACGATAAATCATGTGATAAAGTGCATAGTAGGATAATTTCGTCTCGCTGATGGAGATAATAATAGCAATAGGGATGATAATAATAATAAAATAGAATCACATTAAACCGATTATGGCTAAAATTTGTATTCTCACCCACTCACTCTCTAGTCCCATGTTTTTAGTGTCGTTTGAGAACATCTTCCCAGCTTTATTCGCAAGATATTTAACTAGGTTTCTCTTGCAATGAATGGTCACAAATTTTAAAAAGTATGTGTACTGGCTTCCTGAAGAACTTCTTCCATACACACTTCTAGTGATAGAACCGTTTTGTTTTCTGATTAATAAGACGTTAGAGAAATGTAATTTGTTGTCAAGTTTCTCTTCACATGTGAATCTGATTACTGAGTACATATTTTTAGTCACTTTAATAGTTATTCTTTTCCAATATTTTGATTGACGATAATAAAAGTATCACCAATGTAACGGCTATTAAATTCAAGCTGCTAATAATCTCTTTCAGAGATCTGTTTTCTAGTTTCTCGAGAAAAAAGTCAGAAAGGACACGACCTAGAAGAGAACCCATTGACATTTCATCGATGTGTCTATAATATGTAGTATTAAAGACAATATGAAGGTTCATTGTACATTTCAAAAGTAATTCTTGAAGACTAACCTCGGAAATCCCAATATTGCTTTATTATTTAAGTAGCTGTTGACTCACTAATTCAATTGTTTTCGTTTCCGGTACATTGGCAAGCTATGAAACACCATCTAGATATGTCATCCATTCCGCATTTATGCCCCTATGTCCTACTTTAGAATTAGATATAGCTAAATCTGGACGAAGAGAAAGTCCTGACGTTTGGACTTAGAGTAAACCGTAGATTCGTGGCGTGTTCGATACCGTAGGTTTAAGTGAATCATGGATGGTTGGAGTAATTAACCAACTTATTTCAATACTTTAAACGAATCGATTAATAGCTACCTAGCTTTTATATTTAGTCACATCATTCAAAAATGAGTTTATTTTATTGATCCAATCTGTTTTGTTGATGAGAATTAGCCCACTGTTATGAATGGCTTGCTTATGATCATATTTTTATCTTTTCTGAGTTTATGTAAAGCATCACGATGCTGTTTGGTAAGTGTGGATTTCACGGTATATTTAGTACTTTTGTATCGTTGGCAGATGTCAACCAATGTGATCTCAAATCTAATAAGCTTCTCGAGTGAAGTGAGGACCAAATCTGTTCTTTGTGAAAAAAATTCTCAAACTGCACGTGGGTATCTAGTTTACTGATTCTTTACCATAGTCACAGAAAGTTGAGCCAAGCGAAACATTGACTGAAGCCTTTAATACTTTTATCATAACTAGTACACCTGTCTTCACACTATCAATTTGTACTTTTACTTATTATGTTTGTTTACCTAATCCATCCCACTGTTATCAATGACTCACAAACTGCCTTGATTAGTTTAATGTTTGTATACGTGTATATAGATATTACTGTATATTAGGATAAAGCTTGATGAGGATCTAACTGGCAACAACATTATTCGCCTGGATATGCTGTACTAATTTACAGTATGGGAATTTTTAACATTCATATCTTGTTTATATTCATTTAATTGCAATTCTAGTAAACAACCTTCTTTAGAATATTTCATACGAATTGGCTATTGCTTTCAAAGGAATAAGTAATGGTGATAGATAGTCCTTAGTATACATAATAATTCGTTGTTCGAAATGAAAGTTGGAATGATTTGTTGAAGTAATTAATAAGACTATTTGTCTAGAATAATTTTACTGGTTTTGCCTATCTCTTTGACAACCATTTTAGCAGAACATTTACTAATCACATAAGCCTAAAATATAGACATATTCAAATTGCCGTTGTTAATTTAACTGCACTCAATTCCTTGTCGGTAGTTTATATCAGTTAGTTACCTAGTTTATTTTATTATAACTAAGTTCCACATTATTGATCGTCATATGCCATTTTGTTTACAATCATTTCAAAGTGACAAACATCTAGAAATAAATTGGGATTGCGTTCTATTCAATTAGTGTTCAGTGTTTACTTTTATTTTATAGCTATCTGAATAACTTATGAGTTTATGATCATTCCGTAAAAACTTTCACTTAACTGATAGACGGTTTTGTTCATAAATGATAAATTTAAAGACCCTCATTGTAGATGAATTGACGGTGAATATAAAGTTCGTCTCTCCTGTTGTTATAGTAAGGTGGATAAAATAAAACGACTGGAAATATGTACATTCTTGATTAAATACTGATGTAGAATAAGCACTGAACTAAGGTTTTTTATCAGCAATGATCAAAAATGTTTTGTTCACTATTCTGAAACATTGAATGTATCTATTAACTGCATTCCTTGATGATAGAATTTATGAGAATTGGACTTTGCATAAGTGCGCTTCAAATAGATGATAAAATCGCCTACTAAGGTTTCGGTGACCATATACTTAATTTTATAACCAAGCATTGTGAACATTCTCGATAAATACTGATAATTTTAAAATAAACTTACCTAGACTCAGTAGATTTGTAACACTTACGTAGCCGAAAGTTGTCAGTACGGCATTCGATGTAACGAATTCCTCCGTATTTATTTTGTAGCCTTCCGGATAGGTAGCAAATGTTGGAGGTAGAGTTAAAGATATATGTCCAATCGAAGCACTGTATTGATCAGTGCTGAATGTGAACTATCAAACAAATCAGTACATATAACTGGTAAGTTTGTCTGTATGTGGGATTCGATAATGAGAATATTCACAGTTTTTTGATGATATTATGAATGAAGGGATATATATATATATATATATATATATATATATATATATATATATATATATATATATATATATATATATAATTTTAATACCTGACACATTTATTCGCTATCCCACAATAAACTGAATAATTTTCAAGCTTAGAGAAACTACTTTTAGGCAATGAATTTATATTATTCATAATCGTCTAATGTAAATCGAAATGATTTGGTAATACACCTAGACTTCATATTAGAATTTATTTGCGATTAGCGAAACAATTTCTCATTGATTGCATCTGGCTTGTGCTGATAATGGAAGGTAAGTAGAATACCTTGGATACATTTCTATATTGATTCTACTATATGGTGATTCTGTCTGCGAAGAAAATCTACTATGGAACTGTGTTGTGCATTCAGTTCACATGTGTTGTTTTATGTTTATACTGATTATCTGTAGATCGAAAATGACAAGGAACATGTTTTTTTTTACGGATAATTTTGTGCAAAATGTGCATGATTTAAATGAATAAAACCGACTATGAGAATCAATAAACATTTACTTCTTGATTCTATGCATTACAAGTCTTCCGAGATTACTTTCCAAAACCGAGATAGTTCGACACTTTAGGTGTTTCGGTTAAGTTAATCAACATTGGTGAACTCAGTCTTAAAAGAGAAAAAGAGCTATAAGTAATTAAATCACTCCAGTTTAGCTAGGTGACAATAATGATTGATGTGAATAGTTTGAAACTAATCACCTCACTTAAGCGACTCCTGTACACTATGAAATATCCATTAATGAGTCAAGTATATACATGGGATTAAAAAATCATTAGGCAATATGAATAAATTTTGATATTCATATCTTGTGGTTCATTCAGTGAAATATGTTTGTGAACAAAATCAGAGTAGGATTAATTAGATTGCTTACACTCATTATAAGTTTTGCAATAATCTAACAGTGTAACAGTGAGAAATATGTTTCATCTCTGACCATATGATCAAAAAGTATATCCATATATTACATAAATTTATAAATCGTTTGAATGATGCTACAAGTTGTCGATTGTCGATTTCTATCAAAATAAAAATACCATATAAACATGATAGTACAGAAGATTGAATGCAAGTGATTTGAAAGATTCAAGAAGGACTACTAATTTAAAAAGGTGAGGATTATTTCTTTTACCGAAATCAGAGTGCTAATAGGTTATGATGTATACGTTACGATGTATATACGTTTCTGTGCCAGTGGTGTTTGGAATCAAGAACCAGTAGAGTAAATTAAAGTCTTTAGGAATATTAGACAGTAGAAGAATGCTAAGCAAGATAAGAACGTTTAATTCTTCCCAGAATATGCCTCTGACTGTATCTCTACCGAAACATTATGGACTTTGATACGGCAATCCAATTAATGTCAGTGATAAATGAACGTTGGTAACTTGAATATTTCGAAATCTAAGAAGTAGCTTATTTACGTTAATCATCATCAAGATAATACTATTGCAGAGTAACAAATTACGAAGATACAATCGCGAATCTCGATTGTTTGAGAAAAATGAGTATTACATTTAACAAATTAGCAAAATGATGAGTTTTTCATAAAAATTGATTGATATACTTGAAATAAATATCAAATGGCAACACTGGCTGACTCAAATGGCTAACAAATCTGGGTAACCTACAAACGGATTTTATGAAGTAGCCCCATCTGAAACAGAAGTTAATGTCTGGTAGTGAGAACAAACCAACATTCATTTATTGTTCAAGTAAACTATCTTTCAACATTAGACTTAAGTTCGGTATGATGAAGTGTAAAGCGATATTTTACAACGACCTGTATCATGCTACAACATTGTATGAAACTATTGATTTGATAAGTCGTGTAAGTTGAACGCTATATACGGATCCTAAGCTATTCCCGTAACCCGCAGACTAGAACTATACAGCAACTTGAACTCCAGAGAGAAGACACAAGTAGGAGAGAAAACGCTTTATTCCCAGGTTCATTCTAGTACAGAAAATCAAGGGTATTTATAGATGTTGGCGTCTGTTAAATCAACATCTTATTTCAGCCAATCCATTAACGTCATATTATGCTACCGACCAACGGTAGCACGCCACGCTGGAATTCTCGAACGTTCCATCATACTCTGATTGGATGGGACCCTTTGGCTCCTTTTTGGGCCTTTGGAGGCTCCGTTGAAGTTCTCCGGAAGCCGACCCAACATGATTATATAGCACTCTTTATAAAAACCTCTCTGTATGTTAAAATACATCCTGAAAAACACATCATGTAATTCGATAAAAGTATTAGCAAACTCTTATGCAAGTATATCAATCCTAACTTACCGTATAATCTCCTATTGGTCTACTTATAAAGAAGTTCACAGAATAATCATAGACTCCACCATAATTAACCGACTGAGGGCACTTTATGAAATTAACTGCATCATATTGAAATGGACAGTTCGAAGTAACGACCATGGAAAAATCTACGGTAATTTTTGGAGTCAGTAATGCTTCCGTTGTAACTACTAAACTGGTACCCATTGGAGGTGTCATTTCAGGAAAAAGACCAGTTTTGAATCTCATCCTAATACTGAAGTTCTTCTCATCATCCGCAGGAGCAGATGAAACGAGTATTTGACTTGTCATTAGGAAACTTGAAGGCTAGGAGAAAAGGATTAGACGATATATCAGCTTCATGAGAGACTGTTAACTAGGGTTATACCTATACACAAAGTGAATTCCAAAAACCTGATTGTGTCTACATAATGTAGTTCGATTTATCTAGGAATTTTTCATTTTTATACACATTTATTGTTTGTTGGACGAAGTGTATTTTATCATTTGTGAGCATAAATCAAACACGTTTGTTTACTGTTTCCACGATGAATGTTTCCGTACATAACCATGTGCTTTAGAAACCTACTAGATATGCTTCATTATTTTCTGAAGTGCGGTATCAATGGATATCCACAACCATGAGACTTTCAGAAAGTTTTTAACAAATCACAACGACCAACCTCTAGTGACAGGAATCAAGAGGTGTCATATGTATATTTACTTGTACATTCCTTGTTACACATACATTTACAATCTCTAACAGAAAATGCTGTAAACAGTAAAATTAATCAAACTACATTCATATCCTTACCGAGGAATTATTGTTCAAGTATGTGAGATTACTAAACTTCACAGTATAATTATTTGCTATATTTGAACCGTTGTAGTAAGCAAACAAATATTGTATATATCCGTAATAGACATTATTTAGAGACGGACCAGAAAATTTCATGATCAAACTATTATTTCCAGGTGGAAGGACAATTACCGAATCAATAAACCATGTATCGAATAGACAATAATTTGGATTATCTTGGATGTATACTCTGGAAAATGTGACATGGATAGTATTTGGTGGAACTGTGACGCCCTATAAAGAACAAAAAATGACATTACTCATTTGAAAACCTCAAATCATAATTAATTTGGCTAGTACACATCATTATTCTATATCTTACTGTGCACATTTGCTGAATCGAATCACAACGTCCTGATGAAAACACTATCTTATTTCATTAACATCGGAATCATTAAATCGAATTCATTAATGAATGAAGGTTACTATCTGAAACACCACATTGTTTTGTAAGATAAGTGACTGTGAAATACATACGAATTCAAAGAGAATTATACCTAATTATAATTCTTACTACTACCATTATTTTAAATCGTTTTCATATTTAGAAGTTAACATTTTTGACAAATGATGACATTTATCTGTTTTGGAGGTTGTCTTTAGTGGTAACATACCACTAATCGTGTTGATATTCTGTTGTTGTTGTTGTTGTTGTCGTTTAAAGCAATTAGTCCCTTTTATAAATTTCGATAGAACAATGAGAAGACGGAGTTGATCTGAAAAATGTGATGTATTAGCGCTATACATTTCGAACAATCTGGTCACACATATACTTGTCAGGGCATTTTTATACGAAAATTAATAAAGGTCAAACAAATAAAGGTACAATTAAAATAACTAAGGGGAGAGAAAGAATAAGAAATTGTCGCGTTATCCTAGGCCATAGAATGACTTAAGGATTACCAAGGTAAATTCAAGGTTACGACAAATTGTTTTTGTACACATAAGTGGGGTTTAAATTTACGAATAGCCAAGGCTTCAATGAACCTTGACAATTTCTACACAACATTCTAAATGCTGTATTAATGTTAATTTTGTTACCCGTCTCAATTATATATTTTGCTATCAATGAGCTTGGTTTTCTACCTCCTACATTGGTCGGATCATTTGACATACATTGATTTTGAAGCCATCTAGGCACATGTTCATTGACCCTTGATTGCATTGTTCGATTACTCCTCCCTATGTATGTGTGTCCACACACAGATTGTTCGAAATGTATAGCGCTAATACATTGCATTTTTCAGATCAACTCCGTCTTCTCGTTGTTGTTGTTGTTGTTGTTTGAACAACAAGGCTCAGAACTATGAGATACGATTTGAAGAATCATTGATCATATTGCTATGCCTGTTTCAAAGAAACAGGTTACTACAGTGTCAATTGAAACAAGTCATGAATCTCTTTCAGTGACAGCTTACCAATTGTAAAATCAATGACAAAAACTGCAGTTTATTTTTCAAAAAAATACTACAATAAACAGAGATCATACCCTCTTGACTGCAGTGATTTCACTTCCTGTTTCTTCGTCAGAATACTCTTCATCAATTAGAATGTTGACCGTTGCATCATCAGATATATTTAGAGAAGTATTTACATTCCTAACTGTCACTTGAAAAGTGATGGTGTGATTATTCTTCATTGTTTCATAATCACTTTCAATTACTTTCAAAATACCAGTTGTTCCATCGATAGCTACTGGTAAGTAGTTTGAACCAGGTACAATGTTAAATTGAACACTTCCACACGATGCTAAGGAGGAGTTTTCATCACTCAGTGCAAGACTACCAATCAGACTTCCATTGATCCAGTTAGAAAACTTGGTTTCGAAGGTGAATACTGTCTGAGTGAATTTTGGAATTCTATGTACTAAAATGGTAAGCATATAATCTCTACAAAGTTAATATTCCCCAATGTAAATCAGAAATGAATTATCAAGCGTGCAATGACTTATATTTCTTAAAGTTTGAAATTTCACTTATGATTGAGTAGTTTTTCATTCATCATGGACATTATAGGTATTACATGTCAAAAAAGCCTAAGAAGAACTGGATCATTATAACACTTTGTAACTGTAACTGATGTGGATGATTCAGGGTGATAAAGTTAACATTCGGTTACTACTTTCTATAATTATTTAGTTTATTTATGAATTTCGAAACTTACTATTGTTTACCTGATGGATATTAACGCTGATGCTTTAAATGGAGGAATAGTTTAAGAATTCTGTGAAGAAATGGGATCTTCTCAAATAGATGATTGCCATTATGAAGTGGTATATAGTTTAATGCTTTCTCAAACAATCAGCCATCAACTGATTAGTGCATCAGTACTAAAACTGGTTATGTCATGCGTATTAGAGTGTGTTTATTGTAAAGTATATTGAAAGTTTAACCACTTCTTGTCTCGAGGACATAAACAAATCAAGGAATGTTTTTTTGCAATGGTTTGATAACTTGACTAACCATAATGAATTTACATACCATCAACTGACTTTTTCCATTTACTAGTAATCGCTTTGATCTGTGTTATAATTCAGATTTCAGCCAACCTGGCTAAGCAGTATAGTGACTTTCAGAGGTGAGTTTAAATGTCAAGATGAAGGGTAAATTTGAATGCAAGCTCACGATCAAATGCAGGTCATGCAATGCGCGTTTATTTTCATAGTATGCTCTTTACTTTGTACTAAACAATATTTCACAGATGAAACAATGTAATTTTTAGTGTCACATATATATATATATATATATTTAAGAAATGATTGTTACCAGTGATTTACGACAAATAGTCTAGTAATCACTGCAAACTTTATTAGTCAAACCATAAATGACTCACTTACATCGTTTTTCACAAGTTTTCCCGATCCAGCACATATTACACACGCAAATGCCAGTGATACAATGACCGTTAATACAGCTCCTAAATAGGAAATTGTGTACTAACATGTTATTATCACAAATGATTTGGAATAAGTAGATTAGTGGAATTTGCTAATTGTTTTTACAACCAGATTCGATGCATTGAAATAACAAGAAGAAATTCTGTTATAACACTAATGAGTCTGAAGGTGAGATACTGTAGAGAGTATATTGAAAGTTAAAATGAGCTCATTATGAGTAATTCAATAAAATACAAGGATATACTAAATGTTAAAGTATCTATTCACAAACCTTATATATCCATGTCCTTTACAATTAAAATAAAAAACCTTCTGACAAAAATTTACAGCCTAAACAAATAAAATATTGAATACTTTTACGAGCTGTTCCATCGTGCAAAGTTGGTAAATCAAAACACTCTAAATACTAATAGTAGGGAGGTTGATGTGATTCCAGATGGATTTACAACACAACCGTGGTAAAATAAGATCACAGGATAGACAGACATCATCATCCATTGCGAAATATTCGATTGAGACAGGTCATGAGGTTTATATCAAATCAGCATTTGTTGTGTTGTACAAAAGCCTTCAAGGACGTATACTAAGGTTTATTGAAGCCTTGGCTATACGAAAATTAAAACCTCCTTTATGTGTTCAAAAACAATTTGTGCTTACACTTAACCTAGTACTGGTTTACTATCCAGAGTGGTAATCACATTTGTTTTTTTGTACTTTAATATTTTTCCTGTTATGACTTACCCTTAACCTGTCTAGTTGATCTTTTAATTTTCATATATAAATGTTCTTAACAAGTATATCTGTGATCAGATTGTTCGAAATGTATTGAGCAAATATATCACATAATTCTGATAAACTACGTCTTCTCATTGCATTATCGAAATTTATCAAAGGGACTAATTGTTTTAAGCGACCGTTAACAGTAGATCATTTGGATTTATGTTAGTTCATTCAAGTTAGTAATGAATAGAAACGAAAATTATGTGACCAAGTAGTGAAACATTTCTAAAAAGAGCATTTAGCTCACCTTTTGACTACCACTAAGTTCACACTAACTATATACCATAATAGAGGAGTCAGTAAAATGTAAAATACATTGTACTTACATCAAGATAAAATAATAATGTTTGCAGGGGACTCGTGATCAACTAGATGTCATCTTGACACTAAGAAATTTAGATTTTTTAACTTTACTTATCAAGTGTTTTTGAATCAAAAAATCAACAGCCCGTAAAACTTTATTTTTCCCTTAAACACAGAATCACGTTAAACATTGAGATCAGGCAGCTGGAACTATGTATATAACACTTTGAGAAGGATGATATTCAACACTAGTGATTACTAAAAAGTGTATCGAAAATTATCTAAGGTTTCTTACAAAAATACTCTTAGTTTAGGATTATCATTGGAAATATGCAACTCTAGTATTCTTTAACTTATTTTTATTTTCTGTTAATTACAAAAAAAGGTTTACTCCTAGAGGTAATGCTTCTTTTGGTTGATTTTACACGGAATAATCTCCTATCCGCGGCCTACATTTTATATATGACGGTATTTATATGTCTAAACTCTGTTTTAAAAAGATTGCCGAAATCGTTATGGAACCTTGAATCACAGCACTCAGCTTAAAAATCATACCATGAAATTTACCAGTGTACGTTAATCTGAGTTTTCCTGTTTTTGAAGCAAATTATAAAAGGGATATGATGAATGTAACCTAACAATATCCTCCAATCCTAAGATGAAAGTGAAGTTAAAAGCAAAAGGATATCGAGATGAATATTGAGGCAATCTCGAATTGTAATTAAGGTATAATTTTAAGACTGTTTTACAGTAGAATTTATCGGTACATAGTATTTGTCACATATATTAACAGGAATTATTACTATACGTACATTTTCAACCATCAAACAAAGAAACATTTAAAGGGAAAAATATACCATCACGACTATGATCACAAACCATTAATATTCTTTCAACAGACTTACGATGAATTATTTTCACACAATTTTGTGGATTGTTCAAATGACCCATGAATTACTGAATGCAATATATTAGTTTAAACCTAAACAATCATTCATCAACTTACAAACAGTATGAATCAGTATAATGATCAAATCTGTTGGAATTCTTTGATAGACGATCATTATGTATGAATGTGAAAATGTAAGTCGAACGAAGGTGATGATGATGATGAAACTTTTGGGTTAAACTTTGTTTAAAATATTTTCGGATGATTTAACTAATTTCAGTCAGTAGCTAAATTAATTTCAAGTAAAGCTGAATTCATTTAAATAGTTGCAAAATATTTAGTCGTTTCAGCCAACCATAATACAGTCACTAGGTTTCGGGTAGTTGCACCTATTTATTCTAATCCCTAATAACAAAAGAAATCTGTCGACAGTCCATATATTTGTCATATGAATGGATTTTACAATAAAATATCTTAAACACTCCAATAGCAACAATTATTCCTACATACTCTTATATTGACGAAAAACATGAAGATGATTGACAAGTCTTTAGTATTTTGGTGATAGTGAATCGGAAGTATGATGTGAACCTGAGACGAAACTGTAATGAATTGTACTACTTGCAAGGTTGTCCTTAAGGTAAATGAAAAAAGCTAACACTTTGGTAACCAGGTGATTGAAAAATAACAATGTTTTAGGTTGACTTGATAAGTGAACAATACAAAGGGGTGTTCTATGAGAGGTCGTTTATATCTTGTTTTATTTAACCCAACAATGGCTCTTTACTGAAACAAATCATATCTGTCATATTGTAATAAAGCATCGTTATTATTAAGCGTGCACGTAATTTAAGGACAACAAATTGAATGAATATAAGCTACCGGTATTTAAGCTTTTCTATTGTCTATCTGGTTCTTTCACTATTATTTTGATTATGTATAATACGTTACGGAGACATAGTAGTTAAAGTGAATTAACTCTCCGTGTCACAGCTTGGAATTATTTGTAATAAATAACTACAATACAGAACAAGAATTAAGGTGACGTACCAACATGTTAAACGTACCCTTTATAATAGTGTGGTTGCTTTTAATAATTCAACTAAAAAATGTATTTATTTATCGAATTAATTACAGTCAATTAGTTCGCACTGTTTTATTCCGAGTTTGATTTTCTCAGATGCACCAATATAGTCAAACTAAGAGAAATGTTTTCCAGTCAAAGGTGTTGCTATCACATGTCTCATTGAAAACACTAAGTAGTGAAACAACAGTTTGCATTTTGCTCAGTTCGAGTTACTGGATATACCATAGATGACCACAATTCTGTGAAATAGGGGTAGAAAATGACTATAAAGATCAAGCTATGTTTAGCACTGCATTTGTGAAAATATTTAGACAAATTTATGCGAATTTCCCCAGTAAGCAATGGTCACGAAATAGGTGACGACAAAATTCTCGACCGACATGGCTTTCTGATACGCTACTTGTCTCATAAAGACGTGATTTGTTAGAACAAACAAACAGCTAAATATTACATACAAAATTAATTGACAATATGAAAAACACAACCTGAACTTCGAATGCATGTGATCTGTTTCCATACATGTTCACCATTGCTGACAAATCACTGTCGAACATCTGAAACACGTCCAATTAGATGTGCTTTTTCAAATCCACTCGTTTGTGTATGATTTTCTACTGTCAAATCTCATTTTCAGATTTAGCAGTTCAGAAGTCCACATTGTCAAGGGATTTTAGGCTGTACATCTTAATCTCAGTCCAGATATTTTGTTTCTTTCTATTTATCATTTTATATGCATATAGTCAGGACTAGTTATCTAGGCAGTAGGACGGAAGTTTCATAAACCACAAAATTGCATTTTATAGAATCCAACACCTGAGTAGTACTGATTAATCCTAACGTTTCCAATCACAATAACCTAAAAGCTAATCAAAATCCAATTTACAATTTCCCACTAAGTAACATTGGCTCTCCGCACTCACATGTTTTGGAATACGACTATACTATTAGAAACAGAAAAACTTCATTGTCAAACACTGTTCAGTTAGAACTCATACTCGTAGATAAATCACCTGAGCACACACGAAAATGGAAAGTTTGGGGAAGGTTTATGTTATTAATGAAGACATGTATTAGCATAATCCATTGTGTTAACTTTCACTTCAGGTCTGATAGTTATATGATAGTGAAATGTCTAAATAGATAGGATTACTTATGTCATAACCACACCAACTGCCGAAACCCATAGATCTACTGTAGGTTATCAGTTTTATTATTTTCATGAGAAGTCCTTAATTCGCGCTTATAATAAATTATCTAATGAAATTTTAATGGCAAACAGATTTGAAAATAACTTCATAAAACAGTGAAATCCATAATAATAATAATAACACCACATTCCCATGCCCGAGTAAACAAGGAGAGTTGGGCATGGGGACGGCAACCCTATCGCGTAGTAAAATGTCTTGCTAAAAAACGACGACCAGATTAGACAAACTAAACTCTACCCTGGGATTTGAAGTAAGACTTATGACGCCTCATGACGAAAGCAGAGATTTTTCAGAGATCACGAGACCGACGCCACTTTTACCAACCAGAGCGACAATTTTTATAGTTACATAGAATTTTCAAACAATGTGGGAGATCGGAAAGATTAATCAATTAGCAACGGAAATGAGGAGGTACGACTCGACAGTACTCGGAATCAGTGAAAATTATTGGACTCAACCTGGACAGAAAAGATTAGCTTCAGGAGAAATGCTGCTGTACTCCGGTCACGAAGAGGAAAATGCCCCACACACTCAGGGAGTTGCTCCGAAGTTGTACAATCAAGCACGAAATGCACTTACAGGATGGGAATTTCACAGATCCAGAATCACCAAAGCATCCTTCAAAATAAAGAAGAACGAAATCACTATGAATATTATCCAGTGTTATGCACCCACCAATGATAGCAATGACGACGATAAAAGTCGGT